TAACTTTGCCGCTCGGCTGTGAAGTTTTTCAATCGCCCCAAATAACTCAAGATTACAACAGCTTGCCCACATAACAATACTATAAGTGACGCCAGGAAGAATAACACTGAAATAAAATTGCTCCAATGCACTTTTGGGTAAGAATCTTGATTTTCTTCATAAGTTAAGCTTATTTGCAAAACTCTTTTTAATCTACCTGATAAGTTTGAGTATTCTCATTACTTGCATGCTGGATAGTGTATGGATATTATAGGGAGAAGTTACATGTTAATCACTTCTGGGAGTTAAAGAGTTAAACATAAAAAGACTAAAGCGGAGGACTTCCCAGCTCACATATAATGTATCTTAACTCATATGAGATGCATTTTTGTGATGGAATTCTAACAGTTTGCAGCTAAATTTCAGAAAGTGTGCAAGGATAAAACTATGGTGTGCAAGAGATATTTTGTGCTCCTGTAGAAGGATAGTGTGGTGGGGGTGAAAGTTTTAAGCCTAACCTTTCTGCTTGCTTCTTAACCTTGGGAAAAATGCATTGCTTGTCAATTTTTCATCTGCCATTTTATTCTTACTAGTTTTAAACTGCTATAAAACCCAATTTTGTTATTATACAGCACACAGTTTCTTTAGAAACTTACCCCTTTATATTTTCTTTTGCAGGGGATGTTGAAGTCCGTGAGATGAAAAAGGCCACTGCAGTTCTTCTTCAAAATATGTTATCAAGAATAACGAATCTTGAGGAACAAGTTGAAAGTGTCATTATAAATAGTACTTCAGAATTCCAACATCTCACAAATGCGATCAAATCGTTGAACAGAACAATCAATAATATTACCAAGGTAACAGGTGAGTAAGAAACTGTGTGATGACACGACCAATATAACATTGAGGGAAAAATTACTAAATGCTAATTGGGCAAGGTGGAGGTCATTTCATCAGTGTTTTCTTAATTACACCAAACTAACATCATAGGAATTGTGGGCAGACAATAACAAGAATCGCGAGGTTAACAAGTCCTAACATTCCTTGAGAAAGTCATTCCAACAATTGGCCAGTTGATTATGTGGTCAACATGTTGGTGCATCAGTTAGTCAGTCAGTGCCAGTCAATCAGTTAGACAGTGAGATAGTCAGTCAGCCAGACAGTCAGTCAATCAATATGTGTGTTTTGGTAACATAACATAACATAACATCAACTTTATTACAACATGATAAGTGTTTAAAGCTTCGTGCTTATAGGGTCGTGCATTTAAACTAGTCCTAAAACTAATACCTATTACTAACTTACATACGAAATGAGAGTTAGATTACTAATAGTTAATAATTATAAAAATTTTTACAATATATGTGATATAATCTGCATAAGATATCATTAAAAATAAAAATAGTCTTGATCACAAAAATTAACTGTTTAGGCAGATGTTACCTTAAATGAAAATCTTTCAATTCAACGATCTTACTTAATCTTGAATCTTGAATCTATGCTCTTTCTTGTAGCATAAACAATGTCTGCATTCGTAGATGTAATTGTATTCCATAGAACAGCCCCTTTATAAGTTGCTGAACATTCTAAATAGTGAGATTGAAATCTTGGTATAATGATATTATCTGACCCCCTTAATGAATACTTCGCACCACTCGACCTCTTAACAATAATATTTTCGGACAGTTGTTCTGGTAGTAAATCATTGTACGCACCGTGTACTACCTTAAACAGTTTGGTCTTATAAATATAATTTAAGGAGTGCCATTTAGCTATCTTCAGAGAGTCATCATGGGAGGTGTCTA